CCGCGCTTCGCGCGGGAGGGGGGGAACCTGAATTCAGACGAGGATTCAGAGGCGAGAACGGTAATACGAATCTTTAATGATTTAATGAAAGGTAAAAGCTTCCGCGCTTCGCGCGGGATGGAGGGGGAACTAAATTCCGATGAGGATTATTTTCGAGAACGGTACAACGAATCGTCTATTTTCTCTAATGATTTAATGAAACGTAAAAGCGTCCGCGCTTCGCGCGGGAGGAGGGGGTTGGGGGAGAATCTAAATTCAGACGAGGATTATTTTCGAAAACGGTACAACGAATCGTCTTCTTTCTCTAATGATTTAAGGAAATTTAAAAGCTTCCGCGCTTCGCACGGGAGGGGGGAACCTAAATTCAGACGAGGATAAAGAGTCGAGAACTCGACAACGAATCGTCTTCTTTCTCTAATAATTTAATAAATCGTAAAATTTTCCGCGCTTCGCGCGGGAGGGGGAAAACTAAATTCAGACGAGAATTATTTTCGAAAACGGTACAACGAATCGTCTTTTTTCTCTAATAATTTAATGAAACGTCAAAGCTTCCGCGTTTCGCGGAGGAGGGAGGGGGAAAATCGCCCCTCCCTGCACCGACCCCCCCCCCCGCATTACGTCACTGTTGGTCACCATTACGTACCAATATTTGGCTCGCAAAATTTCAAATTTGGGCCCCCCCCCCTAAGAAATCCTGGATCCGCGCCTGGCTCTCCATAATATTTAAGTCCAACTTAGAGTTAAGTTCGACTTAGAATCTTTGTGAAAGTGGTACAGGGGTAGCAGAAGGAGGGGTCCCTGGATTCAGGAAAGCATCAGTGCATAGAGTGCATATAGATTATCAGGCGCGGATCCAGGATTTTCCAATAGGGGGGGCCGGAGATTTGAAAAATTGCGCAGACCGTTTTTCAACTCAACATACCAATACTGACAAGGTCATATTAGAAGCACCATACCGGTACAATTTTTTACATTTTCATCGGGGGGGGGGGGCTAAAGCCTCTTCCCGAAAAAGTAATGTTCTGGTTTCACAATTCGGCTAGTGAGCGAAGCGAGCGAGCACAAATTTGAGGATAATATGTATTTTGTGAAAATGTTATTTATCTTCAAAATATACGAGAAAAGATATAAAAAAATTCATATTCGGGCAGGTCGCTGTCCCCCCCCCCCCCCCCCTTTACGCGCGAAGCGCAGAAGCTTTGATGTTTCATGAAATTATTAGAGAAAGAAGACGATTCGTTGTACCGTTCTCGATTCTTAATCATTGTCTGAATTCAGTTTCCCCACCCCCTAGCTCTCGTGCGAAGCGCGGAAGCTGTGACATTTCATTAAATCATTAGAGAAAGAAGACGATTCGTTGTACCGTTCTCGACTCTTAATCCTTGTCTGAATTGAGTTCCTCCCTCCCGCGCAAAGAGCGGAAGCTTTGACGTTTCATTAAATTATTAGAGAAAGAAGACGATTCGTTGTACCGTTCTCGATTCTTAATCATTGTCTGAATACAGTTTCCCCACCCCCTCCCGCGCGAAGCGCGGAAGCTGTGACGCTTCATTAAATCATTAGAGAAAGAAGACGATTCGTTGTACTGCTCTCGACTCTTAATCCTTGTCTGAATTGAGTTTCCCCCCCCTCCCGCGCAAAGCGCGGAAGCTTTGACGTTTCATTAAATCATTAGAGAAAGAAGACGATTCGTTGTACTGTTCTCGACTCTTAATCCTTGTCTGAATTGAGTTCCCCCCCTCCCGCGCAAAGCGCGGAAGCTTTGACGTTTCATTAAATTATTATAGAAAGAAGACGATTCTTTGTTCCATTCTCGACTCTTAAAGGGAACCAAAACCTCCATACTAAGTTACTTTTATGGTAAAGTTTAAGATATTTGAAAAATATCAGTGAAAATTCGAACAAAAATCGGGCAAGGAATAAGGAAGTTAGAGCTTTTTGAAATGACTAGTCACTAGAGGGCGGTATTCAATTTGATGACATCATCTATGGACAACTCTCCATGCCTTTTGTACATCAAATTTCATGTTTTTCCTTCTTTCTTGTGATTGAGATAATCTACTCCCCTGAAAGCAAGATATAGAATGCAAAATGATATTCTACTTCACATGTTATGAAGTCGGATCAAGAACACAAATAAATACGAAGAAAACGAAACAATTGTGAAATTTGATGTACAAAAGGCATGGAGAGTTGTCCACAGATGATGTCATCAAATTGAATACCGCCCTCTAGTGACTAGTCATTTCAAAAAGCTCTAACTTCCTTATTCCTTGCGCGATTTTGTTCAAATTTTTACTGATTTTATTCAAATCTTTTAAACTTTACAATAAAAGTGACTTAGTATGAAGGTTTTGGTTCCCTTTAATCCTTGTCTGAATTGAATTTCCCCTCGCGCAGAAGCTTTGACGTTTCATCAAATTATTAGAGAAAGAAGACGATTCTTTGTACCATTCTCGACTCTTAATCCTTATCTGAATTGAGTTTCTTCCCCCCGCGCAGAAGCTTTGACGTTTCATAGAGTACCGAAGCTGTGACGTCATAAATATCTATTTTTAGAGTTTCTCAATTTTTTTTCTTCATTTTCCGAAAGAACATCAAAAATAATGTCCAAATGTCGAAAACCAATTGAATATGTTAAATATTGGCTGAGATATGACCATCTGAATAAAGATACTCCCCATAGGAACTCAGTGTTATATGCTCTGGCTCCTAATGGTTAGGAGCCAAAGCATAATTGGATGGTCATAACTCAGCCAATAATTAACATATTCAATTGGTTTTCTACATGTGGACATTATTTTTGGTGTTCTTTCGGAATATGAAGAAAAATTGAGAAATTCTAAAAATAGATTTTTGATGACGTCACGTCACACTTCACCACTCTATTGAATTATTAGAGAAAGAAGATGATTCGTTGTTCCATTCTCGATTCTTAATCCTTGTTTGAATTCATTTCCCCCCTTCCGCGCGAGGCGCGGAAGCTTTGACCTTTCATAGTGTAATAAAATTATTAGAGAAAGAAGATAATTCATTGTTTCATTCTCGACTCTTAATTCAGTTTCCCCCTCTAGCGGAAAGCGCAGAAGCTTAACGTTTCATTAAATTATTAGAGAAAGAAGACGATTTGTTGTACCGTTCTCGACTTGTCAGAATTTTCAAAATTGTTTCTTTGTCTGCTCCTTTTCCGTCCTATGTCCTTTTAATGCCCCTATCGCCCCTAGCTACGCATGTTTTAAAGGGAAAATGAAACAATCATGATAGTGATAGCACACAATTATTAGGTCAGTAGAAATGAAAGGGGGAAAAAATTATTACACCAACCATGGAATAATCCCGACCGGGAGCGTCATATCATAGTTTTGTGTTATCGGGCGAGGGCCGGGGTGTAGCGACCAAGCGTGATTTTGCAATGTAGAATGCTGAAATTATGCATTCTAGAAAATTCCTCAGCCCAATATGTACGTTCTTTCATTTCTTTCTAGCTATCTATCTAAATTTCCAGGGGGACGTGTCCTTCTATCGGGCCCAGGATCGCCGCCCCTGTCCATGATTACTACCAACATGAGTTCAAATAAAAGCGCAAGCGAGTTGCTATGAGCTGAATCCAATTGAAGAGCAACATAAGAGTTGTGAAGCGGCCCTACCTTTAATTGAAAATTTGACTGTTGAGTATATAGCTTCTATTTGAAAGACATCCAAAATATTGTGCCCTTTTCAATTTTTTTTCAAAAGCAGGGGCTGTTTTTAACGTTTTACTTTGAATCCGTGGCTCGAAATTTTATGCGGCCGGCCCGGCCCCCTCTATTCAATAACGTTTCCCAAGCCTTCTGGAATGACCCAAAATCTTCCGATTACAGTTTTTCCCTTATTCGTCGTTACTGTCACTTAGCGCCATTTCCTTGTCTTTTCCCCTTTCTCACCCGACTTTTCTCTCCCCCCCCCCCCCCCCCCCACCCACTCAGTGTTGTTTAGGGTACGCGCATGTACATGTATGTTCCCTCTCTTTGAAAGCACCCCTTTATCTTCGGTGTGTAAAGTCAGTGCGGGCCGGATTTTTGTGTATTACGGGCCGGACTTTGTTGCGTGAAAAGTAACCCTTTATCGGAGATTTTGGGAACACAAATTCGATCCCTCCGACCCCGGAGTGGGAGTGAGGTGGGGGGGGGGGGGGGGGGGGGGGGGGGTGTTATCTTCTTTTTCTTTTCTCCTTTTTTTTTCTCTCTCTTCTTTCTTTTCTCTTCTCCTTTCTTTTCTCTTCTCCTTTTTTCTTCTCTTCTCCTTTCTTTTTTTTATCTTTTTTTTTTGCGCCGCCAATAGGGGGGGCCGCGGCCGTTTCGGCAGTTATGGGAACCCCCGAGGGCAATGCGCCCCTAATATATCATTCTGCTGTTGTTGTTGTTGTGTGTGTCTCTTGCATAGGAGAGACCGACAGACAGAGGGAAGATGGGAGGTGGGGAAGAGAGGAAAAGAGAGAGAGAGAGAGAGAGAGAGAGAGGGAGGGAGAGAGAGAGAGAGAGAGAGAGAGAGACGGGGTGGGGACCTGATAATCATGTGGGGTATTTTAAGAGGATATACGGAATTGAGGATGAAAGGTATAAAAGTTAAACATAATAAAAAAAAATGCAATATAAATATATGTTTTGAAAAGTGAATAGAGGTGGGTTAAGGGGAGGGAATAATATGCCTAAGTATAAGAGGGAGTTGAAGATGATTTGAAGTATCATAAGCCGTCATGAAGTGTATAATGCTTGCATGTTTTTTTCTCGCATATGGCATTGCAGAAAAGGAAAGAAGAACTAGAAAGGGAGAAACAAACAAACACACTAACAAAACAACAAAATTGAGAAAGATAGAAAGGAAGAAAGAATAAAAAATATTGAAAAAAGGAGAGAAAGAAAGAAATGATGGAAAAGTTGGAAGATATCTCTTTCTTTGGCAAGCTCTGTATCCTGTGGTTCACGCATATAGCGCATGCGCAGTAGCTTTGCGACGGGTAATTTGCAACGATTTTTTTTTCGGGGATAGGGGCAAAATGAAGCCTCCAAAAAACGTATTTAGAGGCGTGCGAGACAGAAGTATTGGAATAAGAAGGAAGCCTGGAAGAAATGATATCCTGAAAAATCATGCAGATTTTATTGGTGCCAAGTATTCATCCCAAATCGTAGTAAGTACAGAGCATTTTATTGTCTTCGGTCCCGAGTGCTTATTTTTGTGTAGTGGCCATTTATTTTTAGTTGACATTCCTTTTTTTCTTCCATTTGTGACCAGTGTGTTGTCATCGAGTTTGGCTAGCAGCTGCTGTTCCATGCTTTGCATGTCAGAAAATTTGATATTGATATAATAGTAATAATAAAGTATTCAAATGAATGAAACGCACAATAATGAATAAGGCAAGAAGAAGATCGCGATCATCTCTGACTGAGTCTGACAGTGACACACACTGACACAGTTTGTTTGGAGTTAAGTTGGACTTGTTTTATGTTAATAATATTATTTAATAACTTACATGTAGCCTATGCGGCTATGTCATGGTTATTGTCTTATTTTGTCAAGTCACAAAGGTACAAGCAAATTGAATTTTTGGTCTATGTAACAGTAACATAGCTTGTAACTTGGCTTGTAACTAGATCTATATGGTGTTAGAACTATATGGTGTTAGGTATTCTTTTAGTTAGAATGTGGATTCTTTTTAACTGTTTTTGACCATATAACTTCATCTCGATCCAGCAATGTTTACACTGCAGTCCCGCACATACCATTCTGTGTAAGTGACATGTGATTTTTCCTGCACGTTTTCCACCTTCATTTTGACTGCTTACTTCACTGCTGAGTTCTTTTTTCTTCCTCACTTGTTTGATTTATTGCTGTATTCAACAAAAATACCATGGCTGGTCAAGGTCCTCTTACTCGTAAGCGTAGTGAAGGGCTTTCGCAAGATAGTCTTGATCCAGACTTTTCCAACATGTCAACCATGCTTAAAAAACTGTTTTGCGAGGATGAATTCATCTCTGTCCTGGAGAGGTGCGTGGAGAAGATTCTAGCCAAGTGGCTTCAGGCCAATGAAGACCGGCTTGATAGGCAGGAAGGTGAGCTTATGGAGTTGCGGAATCAGCTAGATAAGAAAGAGGCTGAAGTTCAGTCCCTTTCTCTCTCGATGAATAAGCTGTCAGAGGAAGTGAATATGTTCAACATGCGGGCTAATGATCTTGAGCAGTACAGTAGGAGGAATTCTGTCCGCATATTTGGCGTTCCTGAGTCGAAGGGTGAGGTCACTGACCAACTTGTGATCAAGGCCGTGTCTGATCACCTTCCATGCGAAATTTCGCCTTCAGATATTGATCGGTCACACCGCTCAGGCAAGCCTCGTCCTGATGCTAAGAAGCCCCGCCCCATCCTGGTGAAATTCACCCAGTATAAGAAAAAGGCAGCCATGATGAAGGATAGGAGACGTCTGAAGGGTTCTGGAATCTCGATCCAAGAGGACCTGACTCAGACGAATCACCAGATCCTGATGAAGCTTGTCAACCACCCCAAAGTTGAGGCTGCTTGGTCCATCGACGGGAGGATCATGGCCGCCTTAAAAACCAGTGAGGAGGGAATTTCTATGAAAAGGGCCTTCTCTTCCCTTCGACAAGTTTCAACCTTGTAATGAGTTGAAACGTTTTTAAATACCTAGTAACTCTCTATCAATCCCAGAGGTTTTGCACCAACTCTTTTTCTGAACATTTTTCTTGCTTGTAAGATTTTTCTTTCTTACATATTACACATATATATATCCATTGATCTTTTACTTTGTATTTAGTGTTGTGTGTGTGTTGATATGGGTGTTTGTGAGTGTATGTGTGAAGGCTCCTCCTCTACAATTTGATCTGTTCACTTGTTTGTTGTTTACTTATGTCCTCATGAACTTGAGTTCTATTACCTTGTTATACTTGGTGGTTTCCCATCAAAGCCCAAATTTTTATCATGGATGACAATGTTCAAGATTACCTTGATCATGTAGTCAGTGACTGCAAGTATATGGACTGTAGTGATTTTCAATGTAATAACTTAAGTAAAATATCCATTATGCATATGAATGCGAGAAGTCTTTTTAAGAATTATGAAGACTTTTTAGTTTTCTTGTCATGTTTAAAACATAATTTTTCTGTGATTGGAATTTCAGAAACCTGGTTCAAGCAAACAACAAATACGTGTATGTTTGACATTCCTGGATATTCTCTTTTACAAGTTTGTAGATCTAATAAACGAGGTGGTGGGGTATTATTGTACGTCAGGGATGGTATTGATTATAAGTTGCGTACTGATTTATCGGGCGAGCATGCTGGTTTTGAGTCTATTTTTGTAGAAATAGCCATTGATAATGTGAAATCCATTGTTGGTTGTGTATATAGAGCACCTGATAATGATATTGCTTCTTTCATTCATTCTTTTGATTATCATATGCAGGTTATTGGCCGGGAAAAGAAAGATGTCTATCTTATGGGTGATTTTAATATTAATTTATTAAATTGTGATTCTGATGGCAGAGTAAAAGACTTTGTTGATTTTTTAACATCTTTTGGTTTATTTGCTTTGATTACTAAACCGACTCGTATTACTTCTACTACTTCAACATTGATAGATAATATTTTTACAAATTGTATTCAAGATGATTTTGCTTGTGGAATCCTTTGTTCGGATTTGTCTGATCATATGCCCATTTTTAGTATTAATAAAGGGAAGTCTCTTTCAAATGAAAAGGTAAATGTTACAGTTTTTAGACGTGTGATTACAAATGAAAGCAGTGAAAAAAATACACGGGGGCTCGGGGCGAATTAGCCCCCGAAATGCCTAAAAGAGCCCCCGAAAATCAGAAAAGAGCCCCTGTAGTTTGCATAGAGTTCAATGCAAAACAAATTTTAGAATGTTATTTCATGCAGGCAAGCTTGAAAAATAGCCCCCGAAAAATAAATATTAATTTTTTCCCTGAATGAAAGAGTTCAGAGATTTAAGCAAGATCTTCTTACTATTGATTGGTCTCTTCTTTATAGTCTTATTGATGTAGATGACAGTTATAATTATTTTTTAAGAATTTTTGGTAACTTGTATGAATTTCATTTTCCTCTTGTTCGGTTGAGTAGGAAAAAGAAATGTAAAAAACCCTGGATCACCCAAGGTCTTCTGAAATCTATAAATCATAAAAATAAGCTTTATTGTAAATACATTAGGCATAAAAGTGAGGCGAATAGAAAGAAATATATAGACTATAAAAACACCTTGACTAATTTAGTCCGTAATAACAAGAAAAGTTATTATGGTGATGTATTTAAAAGTACACAGAGGGATATACGGAAGACTTGGTTTCATATAAATGATTTACTTGGGAGGGGTAAAAAGGATCCAATACCAGATGAAATGTACCACGGGGAAATTCATTTAAATTCAAATCTAGATAAAGCTGAATATTTTAATAAGTATTTTATTAATTTGCCTGCAAGGATAAGTAGAGAAATTCCACCTGTGCAGACATTATTTGAAGATTATTTGTTGCCTCGGGATAACCCATCCTCTCTATTTTTTAGACCAACAACTGTGCATGAGATTGTTAATTTTGTCTTAGATTTGAAACCATCTAAGTCATCTGGCTCAGATGATATTTCTCCTAGAGTTATAAAAGATTGTATGCATGTTATTGCAGGTCCGCTTTGTGATATATTCAATAAGTCAATGTCTCAAGGGTTCGTTCCTGATAAGTTAAAAATAGCAAAGGTAGTTCCAGTTTATAAAAAGAATGATCGTAAATGCATTGAGAATTATAGACCAATTGCCTTGTTACCAATATTTTCAAAGATTCTTGAGAAATTAGTCTACAAAAGATTAAATGAGTTTTTGCTTCTTAATGATGTTTTGATCCCCCAGCAATTTGGCTTCCGTAAAAATTGCTCCACTACTATGGGTGTTTTAAATTTGGTAAATACAATAATATGTGCAATTGACAGCGGGAATTATTGCCTTGGAATATTTTTAGACTTGTCAAAAGCATTTGACACAATTGATCATGATATACTCTTAAGAAAGCTCAATCATTATGGTGTTCGAGGTATAGCATTAAATTGGTTTAAAAGTTATTTGGAAAATAGATTACAATTTGTTGTTGTTAATGGTGCCAAGTCTCAATCTAGCAATGTGAAGTATGGTGTACCTCAGGGATCTGTTCTTGGCCCATTGATGTTTTTGATTTACATTAATGATATTATTAATTCGTCTCAATTATTTACATATTCTCTTTTTGCTGACGATACATGTTTGTTATATTCTCACAAGAATGTACACTCTCTTATGCAGTCAGCTAATACTGAAATCTGTAGACTCTTTACATGGTTTTGTTGTAACAAACTGTTATTGAATACTGGTAAAACTCAATGTGTGATATTTAGGTCTAGAGGGAGGAAAATCCCTGAAAATATTCACCCCTTAGTTGTTGGTGGTCAACAGATCAATCGCAGTCAACATGTGCTATTTCTTGGTGTTACGGTTGATGAATATTTATCATGGAAAGAACATCTTGATAAAGTATGTACTAAAGTGTCTCGCAGTACCGGAGTAATATCCAAACTTCGTTATTTCCTCCCCCAATACACCTTAGTTACTTTATATAATGCTATTATTATGCCTCATTTGATGTATTGTAATATTGCTTGGGGTCACACATTTAGGACCCATGTACATAAGTTGCAAGTACTTCAAAAGAAAGTTGTTAGGTATATAACAAATTCAGAATATAAAACACCTAGTACTCCTTTGTTTTTGCAACTGCATATTTTGCCTTTTGATGAATTGGTATCTCTTAATTGCTTAATATTTATGTTTAAATGTCAATCACTCCAGTATACATTTTTGACTAATGTGTTTGTGGAAAACTCTTCCATCCATCATTATCATACTCGTCAGAGTAGCCTTGTCCATCAGTCATACGCCAGGACCCATACTGCCTTAAAATCATTTAGAACTGTCTGTGTTAAAAAGTGGAATAAGTTACCCCTTAATATAATTAGTATTACTACATTGTCTCGGTTTAAAATATCTTGTACAAAACACCTTTTCGACAGATTGCTATCAGATACATGAATGTATTATAAAACAAGATGAGGTAGCCATGTATGAAGTGTACGTTATGTGTGTGTGTGCGTGCGTGTGTGTGTGTGTGTTTGTGTATGTGTTGTAATTGGGGGGTGGGGGGTATACTCATCTGCATAATTTGTTATGTTGTTACTATAGTTGTTACATTGTTGGGCAGGTCCAAGCTATTTGCTTTGTGACGTACGGGACATTTAGAGACTTTAAACAAGAAATAACAATGGATGACATTATTTATATGGCTAACTTTTGGTATGAGTCTGTGGCTATTATGGGCTAGTTCATTTGTGGAAAGTTTTGGTTCTGACCAATTCATAAATTAATTTTTAATGTAATTAATGTGCTGCGTGACGTACGGGACCAGAGAATTTCTGACTTTTTCAAAAATAAGTTCATCATAAAAGTTCTCTGAATTATTAAGTTATGAGATTTATAGTAATGATATCTTAATTCATTATGGAATCAAGCATTAATCACAACTATTACCATATTTTTCTGACCTTTCGTTGTTATGTAATATACCAAAACATAAATGTGTGTATGTGACGTACGGGACACGTGACGTACGGGACAACTTTTCCCTATGGGAAAATGCATTGAAATGAAGGATTTTCGTCGAAATTTGTTAAATGTGAACAATTTTAACTTAAATCAGTGACAATTAGAGTGTTTTAGAACCCAATTAGATCCTCTGGCCATCACTTAATATCCTCTGTGTTAATTTATGGGGTAAATCAATACAAATATTACTTTAACAAAGAAAGCAAATTGATTTAATATATTCATACACACTATATTACCATTTTTATTCCATTTACCCATCTATCATGTGCAGTCATGCTTCTTTTCTCATTTATTTTATCCATTCCATTCAACATTGCAAAATGTTTTTAAATAATAATTAATGAAGAAGATGAACTTGAAAACTTTTATTTAAACTTGTTTGAAACACAGGGGCACACTCGGCACATCATATTTTGTCAAAGTACATTTCTTATGCTCTAAGTGTTTGTGAACAAAGATACATTAAAAATATGAAGTCTTTTCTTCATAAGTTGTTTGAATTACTTGATAATAATATCATAGAATTTTGAAGGAATTCAAAGATTTATGCTGAACATATCGTCTTATTTAAATCCTTTTATCACAGATTAGAACATGTATATGTTGCTGTCATATATTCAAGAATTTGTACATTAATGTACATGTAGCCCTAAAGGTTTGTGTGACCTTTTCCACAATTCAAAAGATTAAAGCAAAATCAACAAAAATGCATGGGTGTAAAAGTGATAAAAATGTTAAGTGGTTGAGAGTGTGAAATACTCAAAAAGGCTATCCTTCCTTAAAAGTTATGATTTAGTTTTTAGGAGAAAAAAAATTTCCAAGCTGGCTCCCTAACATGTACAGTGTATGCTGTAATTCTTTACCATCATAATCATTTAAATAGAATATTAAAAAAAAACTCACATGGAGAGCTTGATAGCACATGTGCTAAGATTCTTACCTGCAGCATCTATGAGTTGTAAAAACCAGCTTCTGGTGCATCTACTACCATATAATTTCATTAGACTCATTCCAGGAACTAGTACACTATTATGATTTACATATTTAGCATCCTGCCAATGTTGGGGACATCAACTGGCAAAATACCAAAGTTGATTATACCAGGTGTCTGGCTTGAAGACTAATTACATCAAATTCAGTACAAAAAAGTAAATTCCTAGAAGGGACCCAGTTGGAATGTTCATATATCCCTGTATACAACAAGTTTCCTAACACAGTATATATTCTCCTTTTGGTCATTTCTTTTTTCACATCTTGCATTGGTTTTATATGGGGTTGTCCCGTACGTCACATTTCTTAATTTGATTATGTAATCAACACAGAATTTTTGTAATTTTTGTTAAACCTATTTTTTGTTAGGTATTCATCTAAATTAGAACTTCCTAGAATATCTTTTTAAAAAATAATTATTTTCATAATTAAAATTAAACAAATTATGATCAAATTGTGACGTACGGGACATCACACTTTGGAACCTACCTCATTTGCATAATTAATTAATTTTGAAAGGTTTTATATTTTTTCCTATTTTCTAGCATGATGGTCTACAATTCCTGAGATATTAAATTTTAAACAAATAATTCAAACAAGATACAAAAATAGAAATGTAATGTCCCGTACGTCACGCTAATTAATAAAAATCCAAGTTCGTGACCTTGGCACTCTTCGTATTTTGATAATTTTTTTAATTTTTTATCAGATTCATAAAATTCATAGTTTCAGCTTTAAAATGAGGTATAGTTTGTTAAATATATATATAGATGAAATTTGACCCCCAGAGGGGACAATAGCTTGGACCTGCCCTGTTACATAAACATGATTTATACTCGTTGTAAATATGTTACTCCTTGCCATTATCTGCCATTATATACCTACTGTATAGTCTACTATGTAAAGGGGCCCCGTTCACAAGCTGTGCTTCACTGGGGTCCCAAACCTATCATTCTTGTATTCCTTGCTGTTATATCTTATACCATTGTTTATGTTTGATTTGGTTTGAATAAACTTGAACTTGAACTTGAACAAATGGTGGTCGAAGGAAGCATTAAATTATGCAAATAGTGAAATAGGTCTAGACCTAGATTGGTATTTCTGTTTCATTAATCATTGCCAATGCAAAAAATTGAACCTGTTAAACATGAAAATGATGAAACATTTTGTATATTCTAGACATAGACCTACATGTATGTCAATTATTGAATTAGTTTAGAGTTAAGACATTGATGGAAAAGACTTGCAGGCTCTTGCAGCTAAGGACTAGGCCTAAAGGTATTATTATTAAGAACCCCTGGGAACAGTTTGCTGGTTTCTGAAGTGATGGAGATATCAGTCAGCTCAGCCCTAAGTTAAGGGCTAGATGATGAAATAAAATATGATATTGATATCACCTAGCCTTAATAATTGGCACCCATACCCTTGCGTGAAGAGTGATATAAACGAAAACCTAAAACAGTAAAATGCATTCATAATCACCCATTCCCGCTCTAGAAAAACCCTGCACACTAGCTTTGGAGTTTGCTAGTGGACTCTTTTTTTCTTCTCGTACAAAGCAGTTTGAAAACCGTTAACCAGAAATGTAGAAATATGATACCGGAGGGCAGAGGGATAGCGATTTGCTTACCTTTCCTGTGAGCTGTGTGCCTAACATGTGATTTGTTATATACAAAACGTTGACCTCTACATGTAACAAGAGTTCCCGAACGTTGGTTCTGCCGGAAATGCAAATAGTCAGGATATAAACACAGTTTTAGCATTGCCAATGTGATACTTATTTTACGAAAATAGTATGAAAAAAGGCGGGCACAGGGAGTTTGCTAAATTCAGCGAACTCTGTGCGTGCGCCTGTAGTGAACTAAACAAATCGCTGAACCTAAACCTAACCTTAACCCCAGGCCTTGAATGTTCATGTACCTGGAGTTCCCGAACGTTGGTTCTACCGGAAATGCAAATAGTCGGGATATAAACACAGTTTTAGCATTGCCAATGTGATACTTATTTCACGAAAAAAGTATGAAAAAAGGTGCGCACAGGGAGTTTGCTAAATTCAGCGAACTCTGTGCGTGCGCCTTTAGTGTACTAAACAAATCGCTGAACAGAACCTAAACCTAACCTTAACCCCAGGCCTTGAATGTTCATGTACCAGAACCCTACTGTTGGGGTATACTAGAGTTGAGCAGTGCCTTCCTTGATATGAAGAGTATCATTCCAAAAGGAGTTAAAACCATTTTTGTAACTTTAGAGAAAAAAAGACGTTGTTTACCAGATTTTGTACAGGCAGCTATGAAAAAGTGATATTAGAAGGTGCATTTTTTCATAATTGCTTCCGAAATTTAGGTAAATAATTTTGTTGAAAGACAGGTTCTTATTAAAGTGATCAATGTTCTGACATCTTCATGCATTTACGCTTACGACATGTATTCTCCTGCTTTTTCCTTTTGTATGAAACTTTTATTTTGACTAGTAACAAATTTTGTCAAACTTACATATTATTTATTATACATGTATTTATTTGTATGTTTCTTTGTATTGATATGAAAAAGTGGAAATAAAAAAACAAAAAAAAAACATCAGTGACTCAATTTTCATCAAAAGTGGACTTGGCTCCTTTTGGAATTAAGCTACCCGGTATGCCAACTGCTATCCCTGTTTTTGTCCACGTTCTCGTGCAGCCTTTGCGGCTTCCGAGCGATGTCCGCTCCACCTTCCTGGTGAGCTTCAGCTATGACAGCACCCTCATGGCCTCGACCCATGGCAATCATCACATCTACATCTGGAGGGTCAAGACCAGGAAGTGTATTCTGACCCTGGCAGGTCACCCTCGAACTCCTTGGACCATCATGTTTCACCCCTCCTCCAAGGAGGTCCTGGCCTCAGGGTGTCTCGGAGGCGAGGTGCGCGTCTGGGACCTTCAGGTAATTCATTCAAGTTTTTCTAAACCTCATATAAGTCAAAGTGTGTAGACATTTCATCAAAACGTTTATTCAGCCATTGCCTCTGGAGTGAAAAAAGAAAAAAAAAGGAAGTAATGAACAGGTGTCTTAAATAGCATTTGTTTCTTTGAGATGGCCAAGAACTGTCTGGGAGGCGAAGTGCGTGTCACTGTCTGGGACCTTCACGTAATTCTCTCCAAAGGCCACTTTTTCAAAACCGTCATTTAAGTCTAAGTGTGTAGACATTCCATCAAAACCTGCGTTCAGCCATCGCCTATGGAGACCAGTTGGTCCCTGTCTTACTCCCTTGGGAGTGGGGAAAGAAACAAAAAGTAGTTGAAAAAAGTCTGGTAGGTTTATTAAATAGCATTTGTTTCTTAGAGAACTTGGAATTAATGGCCCCGGATTCAATGTAAATGTTGTTGTGTTTCTCACTAACAAAAGGACAGATTTCAAGTTTGCTGTTGGATTTTATGAAGAATAGCTATCAAATAGCATTAACCAACATCAATATTTGTTATATATGATAATGTGAAAATACCCAAAGAAGATGATGATGATGATGATCCACAGCATATGTATGGCATTTAGGGTTTACAGGCCTGACTTGAAGCTTAAAGACGATTGGAATCATTGGATGCATTCCCTCACCCTCCTGCTCTTTGGTGATCTGGTTAGTGATGGGATATGCTTCATCTCCAGGGGGTGTTTAAAAAAGATCTTAAGTTGAACTTATCTCTAAGTTGGACTTAACAAGTATGGAAAGCCGTTAGCATCTTTGAAAATATTTTGTAAAAGTTATTGTTAAAGGCATAAAATGTTGATTCAAATCATTCATATTTTCTATAATCATGGGAGATTTCATGTTCTTGATGTGGAATTTATGAAAAGTCTAAAAAACTTGAATTTTTGCTTTTGGATATATTTTATTTTAAGACTACATGGTACAATGGCTCTCCATAACTTTTAAGTCCAACTTAGAGATAAGTTTGACTTAGAATCTTTGTGAAACACCCCCCAGAACATGCTCTTTTCTATTTCACCGTTGCAGGGAAGTAGTGAAAAGTGGTGCTCACCAAGCCGGACGACCATCACGTCTCTCTCCTTTCATCCCCGGGACAGGCTCCTCGCAATCGCCACGGGCAACCAGATCTTTCTATGGGATTGGAACGAGCCGTCTCCGTTCACCAGCGTGCAGACGAATAATACTTTTGAAACTGTCAGGTCAGTACCTATGCAATTCCTTGAACCTGGAACACTAATTATAATAATATAGGAATTTTTAAATAGGAAAATAAGCTTTAAAATTCTTAAATTGGCAACACTTTGAGAAGTAACTGTCAGGTCAGCATCTATGCAATTCCTTGAACCTGGAACACTAATTATGATAATATAGGGATTTCAAAATAGGAAAATAAGCTTTAAAATTCTTAAATTGGCAACACTTTGAGAAGTAACTGTCAGGTCGGTATCTTTGCAATTCTTTGAACCTGGAACACTAATTATAATAATATAGGAATTTCAAAATAGGAACTAAGCTTAAAATCCTTAAATTGGCAATACTTTGAGAAGTTCAAAATCTTTGTGTTTTTTTATAGACATTTTCAATTTTTTCAATTTTTTGTTGAAGTTCCTACCCATGCATTTGTTTTCTAAGACCTTACATTTTACAAAGCAGTGACATAATAAAATATTTTTTTTTTGTGCCAATTTGAAGAACAACATGTTATCAATTTAGCCCTTTAAAAAATCCTGTCCTGAAACGGTAAAAGCCTGTTACAGTTATTTAAATGTATGTGTAGTAAAAACATATGCTGAATGGTCCACCATGAATTTTCATCTTTTCTTTCATTTTGCAGATTGGTGAAGTTTGATTCTCTTGGCCACTTCCTGTTGACGGGTATTGCCAATTTGCTACCCGAACAAGATGCCAGCAATAGTGATGAGAAGTAAGTGATCTTTTTTGAGACCTTGGTATAAATTTGGGGTTACGAATCAGGGCGGAGTGGTCAAGTGGTCGAGTGGTCGAGTGGTCGACATGGCACTAATATCCTTTGGCAAGATATTTACCAGCACTTGCTACTCTCCACCCAGGTGTTAAATGGGTACCCGGTAGGATACGAACGTTCATGTGGTTGGACGAGCAAGTGTGGGCTTCTAAAAATGGCGACTGGCTGGAATGCTCTTCAGGGAGTGGACAATGTGCACACATTGTGTGCGGGTAAGCCTGAATCCGATGACTGGGGTAATAATATGTCTGTTAGGCGCTTAGGCACATCGTTGGATCGGTGTATTGAGCGCTATATAAAAAAACAGATTATTATTTTTATTATTATTATTAACAAATATGTGGAAAGAGTTGAAATTCTGAAAAGTAGGAGATACTAGAATCTGGGATCTCGGCCATGGAGTAAAAAAAAAAAATATTGGAATTTAGAAAGAGCATTATGTTCGAAATAGAGAAAATAATATGACTGGAGGTTCTAATCTTTACAATATTGATAGTATTGGTAAAAAGATCAATTTATATATAAAAGGTGGATACTATATAATGTACCCTGCTCTACTTTACTTCAACAACTTAATATTACATGTTAAAGGGGACGTAGCATGACGAGACTTCATGTACATATATGATACGACTACGGACAACGCCACCGCTGTATTCAGGTGCGTGCTACATATGCAAAACTGAAGTGTGACAAGAACTTTGATCCGTTTCGCGAATGCTTGTGCACGATGACCGTTATATCAAGTCCATTCGTTTACGTGCAGTTGTCTAAAAGAAGTTGCAGATGGCGTTAACCAGTATTTGCCATGCTTCACCCCCTTTAACTATGTAGTTTCTCAGAAATTTAGCTTCACTGCCATCTTCTAAACAATGGCATTAAAATGAAATTTACTCTTTTTTTCTCCCTTTCTTTTGCAAGCACACAAGATTCCAACCAGGGCTCAGAAGAAAGTGATCCCGAGCCCCTTGAACCGGACACATACCCTGCTCCTTCCATACCAGAGCCATCTATACCCCCGGATATACTACAAGGACAACAAGGGTGAGATATAAACCGATTCCACTATCACCGTTTAAACTGGTTAAACCTAGTGCAAGGACCGTTTAATGACCCTTTAAAGGAACATTTAAGTGAAAGAAAAACTTGGAACTCGGCCTTGCATTCTTTGTTTAAAGTGATTCAAATTTATTTTAGATCCAGCATCGGGTTCAAATTTGGGTAGATTACAGACCTAAAGGACTACCAAGAAATATTGCATGAGCTTTGAACTGAGTGGCATGAGTTGGAGATGAGTGCAATATTTAAATGGAGTGCATCATTAATTTTTTTAAATGAGTTGATTCTTTTTCTTCAATATCACCTTTAATACGTTCATAAACAAAGGGAAATACAAATTAAGTCCATGTTACTTGTTTCAAAGAACAATATATAGGATGAAAACGAATTATTGTAAAATAACTGGACATGCCAGACCAAAACGATCGAAAGATTAACATTAGTTGAGAAGTTGTGGTCTAGTGAATATGTCACCGGACTATGGATCAAATGATTTTCAGTTCGAGTCCTGCCGTGGCAGTTTTATGTACTTTGGCAAGACATTAATCTACATTTGCCACTCTCCACCCAGGTGTAGTAAAAGGGTACCTGATAGGAATGTATTCCTTGCATGCTTTTAGTGCCTTAGGGCAGCTGGGCTTCATCAAGAATAATACTATTAATTTGTAGGCTCCCTGAACATCATCTGGGATTGATACGTGCGCAATATAAAATGTAGTAATTATTATTTGATGTTTAATCTTGATGTGATTCTAAACTTTCCTTTCCAGAGATTCTTCGTTAAATCGCCCCATATCACCGGAGTCCATGGACACCTTAGAACAAGCGAGGGAGTATGCTGCTTCTGTGACGTTAAATGCCCTACGAAGCCGCCACCAGAGGGGATTTGTTCCCGGGGTCCCCATCGATCCCCCCAACTACCCGAGCAGCTTTGCGCAACCGCTTGGGTATATAACCCGCACCAGCCTCCCGTCACACGAGGGCGCCGGGTCAAGCATGAGGCGACTCCCGGGTTCATCCAGGGAGCGCAGGATGAGGCATTCCGTCGAGTCGTTGTCGAACCTTGCCAATTTTGCATCCAACCCTCCAACCAACAGCCTCTCTCAACTCTCCCAGAACCTCACCAATGAGTTCGCTCTGCCACGCCCTGCCCCCGTGGAAGCAGACTCCCACAGCCCCACCAACGAACACCCCCAGGAGATCATCATTCCCTCCGACGATTCTTCGGACACCCCTTCCTCGCAGACGGATGAGCCGGGTCCAGCAGAACCGGTCATGGTCGAGGTGGAAGGAGAGAATGTTCAGGTTGCCGTGGTGACGGATACGCGAGCTGCTCCGTTGTTCCAGCCGAGGGCTGAGAGCGCTTACGTGGGGAGGATACCTTCCCGTAGACCACGCACACAGCAGAGTGCCGACTCCAGCGGGTCACATTTCCCTACTGCTCTAGTCATGCCTTGTCTGTGAGGGGTAGGAGTGTGGCGAGATATCAAGGTGCAAATTCTAATTCGAATAATTTATTGATATCAAAGTCTTGACATTTTAGGGTTATGGTCTAGTGGATAAGTTGTTGGACTGTGGATCACAGGGTCCGTAGTTCGAGTCCCGCCACGGCACCAATGTCCTTTGGCAAGATATTAATTTACATTTGCCACTCTCCACCGAGGTTTTCAATGGGTACCGGTAGGAAGGAATTCCTTGAATGCTGTGAGCGCCTAAATCAGCTGCCTAGCAGAGCTGGGGTAATAGTTGGAGCGCCTTGAGCACAATGCATGGTGGATATGTGCGCTATATATCCAATATTATTATTATATCAAAACCCCTAATAGAATGATGCATGCACAGGAGCACAGAACTGCTGGCTCACACCACCTTCATAGGCTACACTCGTGCAGGGAATGATGCCTTGTGTACAGTGCACATCAGAAACCACATGCTACGTTTAACGTTTTAGAATTCCTATCTATATGCATATTCATAAATAATAACAGCAGTGGAAACCTGCTTGATACTGTACTAAAGTAGCCTACACAGATATGAGCCAGTAAATCTGTGCTGCTGTGTTTACACTGTTCATTTTGTATTAGATTTTTGTATGATACCATTCTCATGTTTCGGATCAACAGTGATGCCAACCAGTACGATTCACTCATATTTAGTACGATAATAAGGGTGAAATACGTTGGTACGATATCACCTCTTGAATATGAGTTTTCATCTATAAACAATTATTTTAAAAAAATTAAAAAAATTAAAAACCTATAAAAAAAAAAAAGCGAAATCGCATAGAAACATGTATAAGTAAACCCCCGCAACCCCCAAAAAACTTTGCTTTACAATTTTTTTATTAAATTTTAATGAAAGATCAAACATTTTTCTTGACCGTTCTTACACTGTACCAGTAAAACATTTTTCTGAAATTTTACTGGCATGGGCCGACGGGCCAGTGGTAGTGTTGAGTTTTCGTGAAAATCTGATTTTTCTCTCCAAATTCTGATTATTTTTTTTTAGGATACTCAGTCTGTTTTTTGGTGTCAAGAGTTTGGCATCTCTGGATCAAACACTTTGTCAGTTGCAGATGTAGTCCTACATCCTAAAAAAACAACCAAGATGAATTTTTTTTATTGCCCAATTGCAATTGTCTTGACCTGTTACGATTGCTGTAATGGAGCATACAGGCTACGATTAAAAAGTCATCAAAATTTTGTCCTATGAAATGAATATTATTTTGTTGTAATATATGTGTGTCAATTACTTTCCGTCCTCAAATTCCTTACTCAGCCCAACTGTCTCGGCGGTCCCTTCCAAGCAATCTGAGCATCCCTGGTCGCAGATTCGGGCAGGGTGCATCTGGGGACCTTCCATTATCGAGAGAGGAGGGGGAAGGTCCACCATGCCCGGAGGGATCATCAAGGCGGCGAAGAGCAGTCCCTCAGCTCAGCCGGCGCTCCCTCCAGGGGCAGTTGAACATTCCAGGGAGGCGATACAACCCTGGTGTAGTAGGGGAGCAACCATTAAGCAGACAGGGGGATGAGGATGGCCAGTCTGGGGAGGGACTGCGAAGAAGGAGACCGTCTAGGTTTGGCTTCCACCGTACAGCTCTCAGGTAACTTGAATAGTAATGATGTTCATGTATCAAGCGTAACACACTTGAATGAGACTTGCTCCTTCAACAATAGACAACATTCGTAATGTAATCAAATCTAAAGCATATATGTCTAATGCCCAGATACAGATTATTTCATTCATCTCTCATGAATAATTGTATTTCAATAGTCAGAATGCAAACTGCATACATAAGTTGTTGTCAGGTAGGACAAACATTATGGCTTGCCCTACCTCATTACATGTACATGCATATTACTATTATTATTTTTAAGAAATGCAATTCTCAATGGGAATTAACCGTGAAGCAATCATTGCCAGAGCGTATATCATACAACCCCACAGCTAGCAGGGAGCTGACATGAGTTGAAAGGAAATTTGTCAAGAGATTATTTGTCAAGTAAAAATATGCTTTATCGTGTGAAATACTCCTGAACAAGTGATTGATAAATAGATAAAATTAGTTCATTGATTTCACAATGATACAGTGTATATAGAGAATGGTAATGGGCATCAACAAAACTAACAACTAGTAATCAACGAATAACATTGTGTATCATATATATATATATATATATATATATATATATATATATGTATATATACCGTTATATAAGTAATTAATCAACTATTAATTAATAAATGAAGGATATAATTTGACTTTTCTAGGCTTCAACAGGTTGGATCAACTTCGGATGATTTGATAATAGTTGTCTCATTTTACGTTTGTGCTTTTCAGAAGGCGTGTTCTACACAGTCATTACAGTACCAGTTTGTTTGATAACACACAGCCCCCATCTCCATCAGTACATTACGCAATCAACAGAGCTATTGCCAGTAAGTCATGTGTAATTGATTTGTTGAAATCTTTTCATGTGGTGCTGATAGTTATGGTGATGATCATGCGGATGAGGATGTTTTTTGTACTGATTATGGTGTTGGTGATTCTAGGGGTATTGGCGGTTGCTGTTGTGCCTTTTGTGATGGTGATGACGGTGATGATGGTGATGGTAATGGTGATGATGGTGGTTATGATGGTGATGATGGTGATGGTGATGATGGTGATGGTGGTGATGATGATGGTGATGGTGATGATGGTGATGGTGATGGTCATGATGGTGATGGTGATGGTGATGATCATGATGATCATGATGATGATGATGATAATGATGATGATGATGATGATGATGATGATGATGATGATGGTAATGATGATGTGATGATGATAGTGATAATGGTGGGAGTTGTTGTAGCGTTTGTGATAATGAAGGTAACAATATAGATAATGATGATGATGACATGCTGATTGTAATAAAAACAGTGTCTGTGTTGATCATCACAATTTTAGTAATAATAGTAGTGATGATGATGACGATGAGGATATTAATCATCACACTAAATGATGTGTGCTATTCTTTTGACGCAACATCCTCCTTTTCTTCACCCAGACGCTTTGGCAGGACGAGGTCAGATGGCCGTTGCAAACAACATCAGTAATCGAACACACAGACTTCAGTGGTGGGATATGTCAGATTTTTTTCTCCCCGATATTACAGATGGTGAGTAAATCATTCTTTGAAAAATTGAAAAAAGCTCATCCAAATTGCTTTTCAGCGCATTTACTTGTAGCTTCTCATTTGTCTCATTTTTTGGTTAATTTTCTATGTTCTTACTTTTTCTTGTGCACCTTAAAGGGATTTGTCTCAGATTCTGAAACAAAATCTTGGAATTAGCTCATGCTACATTCATAATTATAAACCTTTAGGTCAGTCAGGAATCCCAAGACTTTTACTTGCCAAGATATTTATGTTTAGAAATCAACGGTGACACAAACTGCCATGGTTAGATTTATGTTGCACTACAATGATTTGGGTGAAAAAAGCAGTATGAGAAACCTTACTTGTGTTAACATTAACATCAAAACTTAAAAGTACCCATCCTTCCTTCCAAATTTGTTTATCAGCCCAGAGTAACGTGATTGTCTCCGAGTGCAAGATTCATAATGATGCCAGCGTGGATATCTCGAGCGATCGTCGTCTTGCGGCGTTCATCCCGAGCCACATGGGGTTTCCCGATCACGGTGTCTTAGCTGTGTGCTCGCTAGAGAGACATAACCTGGGAGAAGTGCTCTTTACCAAGAGCTTTGGTAAGGTCATTCTTTGATTGAAATACATGCATTGCACTATGTGGGACTATACACTATAGTCTTGTTTAACAAAAGTCTTTGAAACACATAAATTGGAATGCATGGGACCACGCAAATTGCGATTAGTCTGATAGATTTGTACGAAATGCATGACTTACAGATTTAGGGTCGTACAGATAATGGTTTAAAAATTTACAAATGCAGGAGAATACTGAGATCAATCAAACTGGGTAAATTTCCGTGTATAAGGCGCACCACAATTTCGGGGGCAATTTTTTTTTTTTTTGGGGGGGGGGGGGCCGAAAACCCACGCGGGGAAGGACTTTCATTTAACATCAAGGTGCAGTTGAAGGCGCCGATTTGTGCTTGCGAACTTGTCACAAATTATAGTAACAATGTCGTTTTTTAGAAGAATGTGTAAGATCATTAATAATGTAAATTAAAAACAGTCGAGTACCTAGGATAGAACCTTGTGGTACGCCATGAATTATTACTATAAACTATACATATTGAGATCTATTAGAAAGATTACTTTCAAACAAAGGTGACGGACAAATTTGGGTGTTGTTGTAGTTTCCGAGTGGTGAGCTGGGAGACATTGCCAGGCATAGCGTGGGGCATAAATCGAAACTTTAATTTTTTGTTTTTTTGTTTGTGTACCTGTGTATAAGACGCAAAAAAAAGTGCGCCTTATACACGGAGATCTCGGTACGTAAAGGTACTATGTCCCATTTGCAGGCCAAAAAAATGAAAAAGTTAAATTCCAACTGCATTTGAAAGATAATACTTATTTAGAACTTCCCTAAAAAAGGTGGGGCTTGAAAATGTCTTCAAGTGGGAAAATAATGCCTATTAGTTGTCAAATAGACTTTAGGGCTATAGAGCCCAAAAGTAATAGTCTTGATTTTCAGACAATTGTACCGAATGGTCATACGTTTTATGCTGCGCAAAGATTCAATCAGTTTAATCTTGGCCATCACAAGAAGTGGGTTATTGATGTAGACAAATGCTCATGTACCCTTTACAACTCTTTTCATGTATTTTATTACCAAAGAAGAAAAAAAGCCAGTCAGTCACTCAATAGTGTCTGACAATGAAGTCTTGCAAGTAAACGGGTTTCCTTGCATAATTTGAATATGAGGACACTGCTAATGTTTAAATTTCACAGATAGGACATACATGACGTATTCATAATTCCTGCAAAGTTCTACAGAATTTGAGGTTGGCTGCAAAAGGGACATAGTACCTTTAGGATTTTGTTTGTCCATCTAATCTCGTGTTGTCAAATTGGGCCATTAAAGACAGAGGTTACGACATGTAACAGTTGCTCCTGCAAGTGCCCTCAGCTGTTGCATGTTTGAACCTGAAATTATAGCATGCACATTACATCCAACTCTGTTATATTTTAAAAAATGATTGCAGGACCAAATGCCATCACTGTGAGTCTGTCTCCCTCCGGCAACTACATCTTAGTGGGTCTGGCTGCAAGGAGACTACAATGGCAGATGTTTCATGGGGTAAGTAAGGTCAAAGGTCGTATACCATCAAAAGAGATAACGCTACTTCCTCCCTAGGACCTTGTTTCATAAAGGTGTCATCAACAAAATGTTATACAGTCAAACCTGTCTACAGCGACGCTAAAGGGAAACACAAAAAGTGGTCTTTGTAGAAAGGTTCCCTTATTACATGTTTCAATGAGAAACCATTTTCAAGGGAAACAAAAAATGTGCTTGTTGTAGACAGGTGGTCACTAAAGCAGGTAAGACTGTATTACATCACCAATTTGTTTTTCTTTCTGTGTGTCAGGGGTTTCATGTTAAAATATTATATTTCAAGATTCAAGATTAATTATTCATTTCATTCAATAAAAACACATATGTATATACAAAATATTACAGGTGTAGAAAAGAAATATGAATTAAACAAACATAAGAAGGTCATTGATCAAATTTGGGTCACTGCAAAAGTTCAAATGAATTTGAACTTGTCGAGGCTGTGCCAAAGGTTTGAATTATAACAAAATATAAGTATGAGCTTCAAATATTACTTCTATAGATAGATTTTTTGCAAGTTTGAATACACTCTCAGTTAACATAAGACGACCTCTAAGTAGACTACCGGTACTCGATATATCGGTATGCACTCGCATAAAATACATGTACAATGTCAGAATCCAAGTCAGATTTGAGTTTGACTTTGGTTCTGTCGGACCGCAGTCAAAGTCAATTTTGTCATGTTCCCTTTGAGAATTAGTTTAATGGTTTGTTTTACCCGATTGCTACAAAGCATTTGTATGCTTGTAGTTAAACAACCAGGGGCCTGACGGCTTTAAATCCTCTCCAAGGGACTTGGTAGTGAGGATTAATGCCGTACCCAAGGGCACTAGTGCATTGAACACGGGACCCCCGGTCTAAAAGACCACTGCTCTTCCATTAAGCCATTGTGTCACATCTTTAATCATCTTTTCAAATACTTGTCCTGTTCTTAGTTCAATTCAATTCAATTTGATTTCATTTAGTTAAAAAGACAACATTTCGTATAACAATCAGCTATATAACTTAAAATACACATTAAGAACATATTTGACAAGGACATACAGTGTATACTGAATAGGTTGCAACCTGAAAGGAAACATAATCCTTATATAAAGGTTGACCCTTTTTTTTATAATAAAAAATATGAAATATATTCGTTACTAAACATTATACAATACACAAATCAAGACAAAAAAAATACATACAAACAAACAAACAAAACAAAATATATCTTGAATTCAAATGATTATTGCAATTCATCAATTTTTTTTTTATACCTACATTTAAATACAGTTAATGGCCGATGTCTACCAGCTGCAAAAGCCAGAAGCCGGCGAGGACTCGATGACGTTTGTCAATCGAATCATCCACCCCTTAGACCCCCAGCAGAGGTTGGTAGTCAGCGTGAACATCGCCCGTTGGATACCAAGGCCCGGGGCGGGGCTGGTCTACGGTACCAACAGGGGGATCTATGCTTCTGCACTCCCAAGTGAGTTAACTCTTTATATGTCACTCAAACAGGCCTGATAATTACCCGATTTAAATAGGTTTCCCAATTATTTTTTTGTACTAATCTCCCTGTGCCACATTGTCATATCTGCTGGCTGCTAACCCTTCCAAATAATCTGGAATATTCAGATTTTTCAAAATTTCATTTTTTTTAAATAAGGGTGCTAAAGCCAAATAAAGCTTGTTTTATCATGTAACACAATTTGAGAGCTTACGTATTGCGTACCTTGAAGGGCTGCATGATCGAGCAGTGAGTCTGTATTCGCTTTTTGGTACAGATTTACCGCGTATTGCCAGTTACACTGCCGCTGCAAGTGCGATTTCTTATTTTTGAAGGCATACCGTGCTAAAAATTCCTAATTCTTATTTTGAAATGTTGGCAGGTATGCATTATATTCATCATGGGATAGACATATCAAAGACTTTTAGATTGTTTTATCATTTCCAGTGCAAGATTGATATATATCAGTGTTAAATGGGTTGTCGTGGAACTACCGGTAATCAAAAGCGGAAACAGGTAATTTTGCAAAGCAATCCTTCCGTCAACTGGTGCCTCTTGATCTGTGCAAAATTGCAGACAAGCGACCCTGCAGAGAGGCAAAGAAAATTATTGAAGTGTTAAAGGTACTATGTCCCATTTGCAGGCCAAAAAAATGAAAAAGTTAAATTCCAACGGCATTTGAAAGATAATACTACTTTAGAACTTTCCTAAAAAAAGGTGGGGCTTGAAAATGTCTTCAAGTGGGAAAATAATGACTATTAGTTGTCAAATCGACTTTAGGGCTATAGAGCCCTAAAGTAATAGTCTTGATTTTCAGACAATTGTACCGAATGGTCATACGTTTTATGCTGCGCAAAGATTCAATCAGTTTAATCTTGGCCATCACAAGAAGTGGGTTATTGATGTAGACAAATGCTCATGTACGCTTGACAACTCTTTTCATGTATGTTATTACGAAAGAAGAAAAAAAGCCAGTCAGTCACTCAATAGTGTCTGACAGTGAAGTCTAGCAAGTAAACAGGTTTTCTTGCATAATTTGAATATTGGGACACTGTTAACGTTTAAATTTCACAGATAGAACATACATGACATATTCATAATTCCTGCAAAGTTCTACAGCATTTGAGGTTGGCTGCAAAAGGGACATAGTACCTTTAAAGGGACTTAGTAACATTGTTCAGATGAGAGAAAATGGTGGTAATGTAGTGACTTCAATGCTAGATGTACAATCAAATGCAATCTGAGGTGGTCTGCCTGTACAGGTTCACTCAATAAAATGGGACACAATTTTTAAGGGATACAAAATTGTGATCTCGATTGGAGTAATATATAAAGGCATGTCAATGGCTAATAACTGGGCATAGCTGATTGAGTGCATGGGAAAGAGATCTGCGCATACACCAATAACAAGTTGCAATTTCAAATTTAACATGACATGACAATGAAGACCATTTCAGTGAAGTGAAGATAAAATGATTTCTGAAGTTATTGAATCTGGAGAGTGTTTCACAAAGATCATAAGTCGAACTTAACTCTAAGCTTGACTTAAACATTATGGAAAGCCATTTGTAGCATTAAAATAAAATATATTCAAAAGCAAAAATTCAAGTATTTTAGACGTTTCATAAATTCCACATCAAGAACACAAAATATCCTTGGCAATAGAAAATATGAATGTTTTGAATCAACATTTTACGCCTTTTAAAATATACTTTAACAAAATATTTTCAAAGATGCTAATGGCTTTCCATAGTTGTTAAGTCCAACTTAGAGATAAGTTCAACTTAGGATCTTTGTGAAACACCCCCCTGATATTGTTGAATTTCATTCTTTTGGATCACAGGATTGACAATGAAGACGAACCTGTGGTAAGCGAGAGCACGTCGACGTCTGAACCTTCGGAGGCCTCTGCTAATCAGCTGGACATGGTGGAGCGACGGCGTAGCTACAGAGAGCTCGGCATGATGGCCGTACGACTCTCCAACTCTCAGACGGGCAGTCCGTCGGGCGAGGCCTCTCGCCAGGCATCGGTGTCCCAGTCCACACAGACTGGGAACAACGTGTTCCAGAACATGGCCACGCAGACAGACTTTGGGAATGAGGGCCACGTGGCAGGACGGGAGAGGATAGCGGAAAGGAGGAGTGATGTGTCGAGGCCCTACGCAGTGGCACTTTTGTGGAGGAGCGAGCGGGAGAGAACAGCGAAGAAAGCGCCCAACGAGCGGAAGATGAGAGCAGGGAGGAGGAGATGCAACGTCCGTCCGGATCGCATCATCGTCGGGCATCGCATGATGGCGCAACGGAAGAAAGAGATGAGAGTAGCGGAAGTACAGCGAATGTTAGAGGAAGTGTACGAGGAGAATGCTGTGATGCCAGCACGGAAATCACTAATCATGACAACCAGTACACTAGAGGACAGGTCGGATCTAGTGGCAACGAGAGAAATTCGCGAAGGACGTTCACGGAAGACAACCATTCAGAATTAGACAATGCGTCCAGAACCTCTGAAGGTTCTGCTACCTTTAGCAGGCTAAGCTCTACCAATGTTACTTGCCATCAACCGTGCGAAACAAATTCTGCCTATTTTCCAAGCTCAAACAATCCAGACGCGAGAATCATCTCCCCGCGGACAATCCCATCTAGGCGTTTGTCTGCAGACAGGGATATCCCGGCATCCAGTCATTCATGCCGGATGCTTCACCTGGACTCTCAAGACGAGATGGAAAGCTCACAGCAACCCAACAGTACTTCTCAAGACAATGGAATCCGTTCCTCGTCTATAGGAACGGAGCGGTCGGCGTTTCACGCGGTCGGACCGGGCGGAGACGCAAGCAGCTCTGCGCTGTCATCCTCATCCTCGGTGACCACCATTTCGTATGGACATCGCACCCTTAGCAGGGGCCCGATCAGATTCATTGAATCCATGAGCCAGGAATCGGACGGTAGCGACCCCGAGGAACAGAGGAACATGACGGGCGTCAGTCAGAGTTTGAACTCTAGAGGGCGCTCTAATCAGAGAATTAGACATAATCTAACTTTAGACTTGACTGCAAGTCATGTTGTGCAACCCAGTACAAGTGAGGGTCGCTCCCTGGGAGACACTGAAGAAGGTAGTCCGGCCACTTCAGAAAGTCCAAGGTCAAGACTATCCCATCATGTGATTGAAGGTCAAAGGTCAGCTCAGAATGTCAGCTCCAGACCTAGAACCCACACAAACCCTAATAGCCCAATGAGAAACAGTCATGTAAACGTGCAGGCCTCGAATCAGAACACTGAGCAATTTGTAAGGACTGAATCCTTACAAGACCAAGATCAGGACCAGGAACTAGCATCGGTTCCTATCCCTGACTTGGTGAGAGGAACTGAAGGGAGGATACGGGAGGGGGCAAGGGGGCAGGGTCAAGTAACAATGGAAGTCGATGATGATATTCTTAACGAAACAGCTCAAGACACTTAGAATCCTTTTGTTTTCATGAATATCATATTAGTCCCTCAAAAAGGATATTTATTTGAACTTTATCACCTTTTTGCATTACGGTAAACATACTCATCTCTATTTAGGGAAATTGTTACATTATTCTACATTTTTTATTCATGTATTACTTAAGGGTAGTAATTTCTGTGATTATTCAAGCTAGCACAGTTCAAATTGTCAAAACTTTGATGGTTATTTCTGCAAGCCAAAATATAATTCTCCATATTTTGTAAGTTATCTTATTTATAACGTCAAATTAAGAGGACTCTGAACCTTTTTTGGTAGCTTTTCTTTTTTTAATATTCAATTTCAATTTTTTTATTTCATTAAGTGCTTGCCATTCGATTTTAATGTTTCCCATTTGCAAGTTAAATAGATAAGTGCTTGCATACATTGTTGTGTTGACCTGATATGCAGGAAAAATCATGAAGTGGAAAACAAAAGTGGCAAAATAGATATTGGACTATTTCTTTTTAGGAAGTTTTGTTTTCTTAATGCACTTACCGGTATATGGAAAAACCCTGCAAACCAAATATGATTTATTTTTTTTTACATCAAAAACATTTAAATCAGTGTTAATATATACCGGTGTTAATTGTTTTATCATGGAGCTAATGGGTAATTTTGCAAAGACATTGTGTTCCGCAAAGCAGTCCTTCTGGCAATTGGTTCAAAATTGCAAGTGTGGCCAACAGGAGACTGTGCAGAGAGGCGAAGAAAGCAGGCAATGTGTTAAGTTTAGGTATCGAATGTGGTGTAGGGCTGAATTGAGAAATTCAATAAATATAGGATATTGTTGTTACAGCTTATATCGCACAACTATGCTTTCTGTGCTCCGAAACTGCCATTTATCACTGCGATCAGTCAGAAGAGGATACGCCATTTTGGATTTCATTTCTGTAAGATAGTCTTTGAAGAAGAGGTCATTGTGTTGTTGAAGAGTTATTCTTTATTTTATCCATGCAACATCATTTTGAAGGAATTTGAGTGGTCTTACATTTGCTCACTTCTTAAAGGTACTATGTCCCATTTGCAGGTCAAAAAAATGAAAAGGTTAAATTCCAATGGCATTTGAAAGGTAATACTAATTTAGAACTTCCCTAAAAAAGGTTGGGATTGAAAATGTCTTCAAGTGGGAAAATAATGACTATTAGTTGTCAAATTGACTTAGGAGCTATAGGGCCAATAAGTAATAGTCTTGATTTTCAGACCATTGTACCGAATGGTCATACGTTTTGTGCTACGCAAAGATTCAATCAGTTTAATTTTGGCCATCACAAGAAGTGGGTTATTGATGTAGACAAATGCTCATGTACCCTTTACGGCTCATTTTATGTATGTTATTACCAAAGAAGAAAAAAATCCAGTCAGTCACTCAATAGTGTCTGACAGTGAAGTCCAGCAAGTAAACGGGTTTCCTTGCATTTGAATATTAGGACACTGCTAATGTTTAATTTCACAGATAGAACATACATGACATATTCATAATTCCTGCAAAGTTCTACAGAATTTGAGGTTGGCTGCAAAAGGGACATAGTACCTTTAAATGTAATTCTGGAAAACACTGCTCTCTTTTATGTTAGTACAACAAGGTTAATTGGCATAAGAAATCAAAATTGAGTGAAGTAATTGTTTGTGTTTGTTTTGAACTGGCTGCATCCGTATATAGTACAAAGAAACAAAGGGCAAGCACCAGCAAAATGTGTTATCTTTTACAATCATCATGATTTTAATATATATTTATATATATATATAGTTAATAACTCGGTCATTCATACCCTTACTAAATTTTGTAATTTTTCAAGTACCGTAATTAACGTTGTATTAACCGCACCTTTTTGCCGCCGAAAAAACTTCAAAGTCGTTGGGTGCGGTTTATGCCCCTCCACCTGGCGCTATGCCTGGCAATGTCTCCCAGCTCAGTAATCGTGTGTTGACTCACCACTCGGAAACTAGAACAACACTCAAATTTGTCTGTCATCTTGGTTTGAAAGTAATCTTTCTGATAGATTTCAATATGTAGTTGATAAAAATAATTCCTCCAATTTTTCTTCTATTACACGGCGTACCACAAGGTTCTATCCTAGGTCCTCTACTGTTTAAGTCGGCAAAAAAAAATCAGCAATTTTTTTTTTTTTTTTTTTTTTTAGGGCGAAAAAGAGGGGTGCGGTTAATACACGAGGGCGGTTTATACAACGTTAACGTCCCGTTAATTGTCCCAATTTATATTTCTTGAGAATGTGACATATTAAAGCTTACATCTAAAAGTTTTTAACAAATGCCCAAATTCATCCAGTCCACCTTTCATTCTTTAGTTAAAATACCAACACAAAATATCAAATTTAAAAGGGGTATAAATAATTTAGTTGTTAAAGGTAAAGACCAGTTCTGGTCATGCGATTGCATTGTGAAAGAAACATTGTGGAATTGATCAGAAAAGGTTGATCATCTAGCATATAGGTATTGGTGTGTACTGCAAGGTTCTGGAATCATCAAAATGATAAGAAATTTGGCCTAGTCTTGGTAAAGTTACAAGCACTGTACACAGAAAGATGTATATGGGACTATGCGACACGTGCGCGATATCTATCCGGTCCGGATAGATATAATAATTCACCAAATATAGGCGGTTCCCCGGCAAAATATGTATCATCACATATTAGTCAAAACATATTCTTTCACATGATTAGTAATAAGAGCTTCCATTTCATTTTTTTGGAGGGGGGGCGTTTACAAAACTGGTCTTTACATTTAACTGTTTATATATATTTTTGTGGTCAGTATGGTTGCTTCTCCCTATGCAGATGTTAATTGGGTATAAGGTAGGATTCTAAATATTCATCGTGTATCCTTAAGTATACGCATGAAGAGTTGCGACGGCTCAGTGGTGGAGCAGTGTTCGGAACCCAGTCGATTCGCTAGTGCCCTTTGTTCAGGTATTAATCCTCTTTACCAAGTCCCTCGGAGAGGACTTAAAGCAAATTGTACCAGGATGGTTTAGTTAAAGTTACAAGCGTATACATGATTTTTTTTAGTGTTCAGGTAAATACAAACTGGCAAAGAGCAATGTAAGCTTATGTGAAGATGCGCAAGCTTGAACCTGATTTCACTAACTTGTCATTAAGGAATGAACTACAATACTTGGAATCCAGTCTGCATACATTAATTGTTGCTATGTCAGGCAAGCCTTGGGCAAATTTACAGGTTGTGAAGAATAACCTTTGACATTAAAAAAAATATATGTTTGTAAACTGGTCTATTGTGTACCCAGTCTGGAGAAATTCCTTTAATGCTTGAATGCTTTATAATTTTATAACAATAACGTCTTTCTCAACTCAACTCGTGCAAGACTTAAAGAGAAGGTTGAGTTCTGGGAGGAGGTAAAAAATAATTTGTGAGCATTATCATTGTTATTATGCAAGGGTGGAAGGACATCAGATTAAACATGTTCCCTGAAAAGCATGGCTCTTCAAATGCCTTCATATTCTAAATATGACATGAAACATCGTAAAAATCGGGGGTAGGTTTTTTTTTGTCTTGTGCTCGTGTAGTCCCATGTACATCATTCTGTGTACAGTGCTTGTAACTTTGCCAAGATTTGGCCAAATTTCTTATCATTTTGATGATTCCAGAACCTTGCAATACACACGAATACTTATATACTAGATGATCAACCTTTTCTGATAGATTCCACACCATTTCTTTCACAATGCAATCACATGACCAGAACTCAACTTCATCTTTAAGCTTTTCGTGACATCCCTACCTCTGATCTTTAGAATTATTATCAGAAGAAACATGGGAAGAATAAGAAGGTCCCTGGCAGGGCCGGCCTCAGGGAGAACGGTATTAATACTGATGAAGCTACTCTGGGTAAACAAAGCAAAATATTATAATAATGGGTCATCTGACCTTTTCTCGCTTCCACAAAAACAGGAAAAAGGACTCCGGTTGTTATATGTTTAGACTTATATCAGGGTTGAGGTAGTGTTGGGTCGTTGGATGTTTGAA